CTGGAGCCTGTTTCAGATTCTGTGTCTCCCCCTCTCTCTCTGACTCTCCCCTGCTTGTTCTCTTTCTCTCTCTCAAATAATAAACATAAAAAAAAAAAAAGTTGCTAATATGTTGAGGAACCTTTTGAACAGTAATAGAAATTTACTGATAAGCTCTTCTGTTTTTCTCCCTTATAGCATCTTGCAGACAGAGTGGCCATGTATGTACATGCATATACACTCTACAGTGCTGTTAGACCTTTTGGCTGCAGGTATGAAATTTTGTGACATAGTCAGATCTGGACTATAGGTATCTGTTTGCCCTGGTATCTTAGCCTTTTTTTTTATACCCTTAAAAATGAGCTATGACCAAAAAGTATTAGGACAGTGATCCAATAAAACTGTACATCAAAATAAAAACTTTGAATTGTGAAAAAGACTACAAATTTGAAGTGACGAGAAAACACAGAACTGATAGTAAGAAATTTAATTTGATTATAATAAATTCTCTGGAGAAATGTGGTCAAAAGGTAAAAGGCTCTAAGATAAATAAATGCTAGGGATGCAGTGTACATTATGATGACTGTAGTTAACACTACTATGTGATATATGGCAAGGTTGTTGAGAGTACATTCTAAGAATTTTCATCACAAGGAGAAAATTTTTTTCTCTTCATTGTATCTTTTTGAGATGATGGATGTTCCTAAACCTGTCGTAATCATCTCACAATATGTGTAAATCAAACCAGCATGCTATACGCTGTATAGTGCTGCATGTTAATTATTTCTCAGTAAAATAAAAAAAAAAATTCTCTGGTGTCAGACCCCAACATTCTCAGGAGGCAACAAACTGATTTTAACTACATCCTCTGTTGTCATTATTTTTAGGGTAGCCAACTAAACTAACACTTCAGTTTTCTTACTAACTTCCATCTGATATACTTAAAGCGGTTAGGTTCAATGCTCTTAATTGGGAGTTTTTTTAGCAATCAAGAATGAGTCCATACAAAATTGCCTTTCATAGTTCTCAGTCACAATTTTTTATTTCGGTTAAGATGAACTGCTGGTGTTTTTATTCTGAGAGGAAAGCTGAGATTCAATTGTATTGAGACTTGGAATACACGTAAATATTTAAATAGGGCTCAGAGACCTGTCATGACTCTAGATTTTCCTAAAAAGACTTGTTTAGTTTATAACTTAAAAAAAATAAACATTTCTGTTTGATCATGGTAAAACATTTACTAACATCCGACTGCTTCCACTGTTAAAATGTTGTGGAAAGAAAGTTTATTAGCTGTAGTCCTACCTTTGAGTTGCTTATAATCAGTCATATTTAAATTACTGAGGACAGATGTTAGAGAAAACCTGAGCTTTATTCTAGCCATAAGATAGGCCTGTGGACATTTTTTATATTAGTTGTTCTTCAGGTTCTCACTTAAATTACATTGAAACCCTTTGCTTTCAATACCTTTCAACTTTTATTAAACCTTTGAACAGCACTCTGAATTCATTTCTCTATTTTTAAGCAAGTAAAAATGGTGGAGAGAACTTTTCAGCAAATATTTATTGAGCATATACTATGAGTCAGTCGTAGATGTGGGAGGGGGTAGGACACAAAGATGAGTAAGTTTTCATTGATACAATTTTATAGGTGATATGATTAAGAAATGCACTGACTATAGTGGGGCATCAGTTAGGGAAAGGACACTTTCATGAAGAGATGGCAAGGAAAAGAATGTGAAATATAGGTGGAATGGTTAAGAATATTTCATTCAAAGGGACTAGTATGAAATTACATGGGCATTTCAGGTAATGTATAGGTAGTCAAGTATACTTGGTATGTGGAAGGATACTGAAGATGTAGGTACGGGCAAGATCATACAGAAGTCTATGTTCCATACAAGGAAACGTTGAAGGGTTATGATAATCAGTTATATATTCTGAGAGATAAGTCTCACGGAAGATGGAAGGAAATGATTGTAGGGGTGGGAATTGGACAGTTGGCTGTCATAGTAGTCTGTATAGGAAGTGATACTTAAGATGAGGCTGGTTTCTTTTCTCCTTTTAAGGCAAACTAAATCACAATTTCAGAAAATCACTAATATCATGATTATTTAATGGCCTGATTTTGTCACATATAAAAACACATTAAATCAGTCTGGATTATTGTAGAAAAATAACTGGAGGAATATTGGGGAAATAACCAAGAAAGAATAAAGGATGGAACAAGAGTTTGAGGCAGACTGAATGTATTCCCATTAGTTTTGTTATCTTGGCTTTTTCATGTTTATTCCTTTACCTATTGGGTCTTCCCCTTAGTTTTCACCTGTCATTACTTCTTTGTCTACACTGCTGTCTTCTCAGATCAGTTTCATCAGTAAGTTTAATACTAACCAAAGCCACACAAATTTTGAACAATTTCAAGTATATACTAGTTTTTATTGAAACTACCTCATCAAAGTGTTTATTAGGACTTATATGTATATTAGTAGTTTATCTTAGAAAGTATAATTGTTTTTATTGTATTTTTATGGTATTTTAAGAACTATGGTTTAAACCTAACTTACTTTCATGCAGTTTCATGTTAGGGTCTTACAGTGTGAATGATGGTGCACAGCTCTACATGATTGACCCATCAGGAGTTTCATATGTGAGTAATTTTGAATCATGAATTTCTATTTCTAGTTTAATGGTATCTCATTAGCATGTAAGTCATATATTTGGATTACATGAAATTTCTTTTAAAATTCAAGGAAAGTAACCATTTCTTGTTTATTATTAATAACAACCTGTGGATATGAGGCAAAGAAAGGATTTATGGCTTAAAAAATTTTTTTAGTGTTTATTTTTGAGAGAGAGCGAGCGAGAGAGCTAGTGTGTGTGTGTGTGAGTAGGAGAGGAGCAGAGAGAGAGGGAGACATGGAATCTGAAGCAGGCTCTAGGCTCTGAGCTGTCAGCACAGAGCCTGACATGGGGCTCAAACTCACAAACCATGAGATCATGACCTGAGTTGAAGTCAGAGGCTTAGCTGACCGAGCCACTCAAGTGCCCTGATTTATGG